ATACAAGCAAAAGTGAGTGAATATAACCGAAACGTGAGTGAATATATCAACTCCCTATATTTATAGCCTTGACGCATTATCCAAGTTTACATTCACCGAAAACTCATCATGTAATATATGTAAGTAGTATGACATGGAACATTACGCCAGCAGATTTTTTCTTACCGTAATTTACCAACACCAACATTCCTGGACAGGTGCTATTTTGACGACGAACCTCTCAATTACCTGAGAGCGAAAGCCACGTCTTTTGGATCTAAGGGGAGACTTAGAAACGCTCGACCGAGATATAAATGTATTGATAAAAGCAATAGAACATACAGCCGAAAATATATGTCACACGCCTCCTTTTCAGCTTAAGTACGCCAGAAATTCTCCCTCCCTAGCTCATATTTTCTCCAATCTGCACGGTGGCCGTTTCGAGATGTTTGCTCTGCTCCGGATTGGCCTTGATGACGCCTACTGTTCGTGCTGTACGACGATGTGCTGTCTCGAACGCATTCACAAGCTCTGCAAATGCACGACCAGTCATGCGATCTAGCACAATGTCAACATCATCGCTTACGCGTCCAAGTAGCTTGTCGCGTACCCAGCCGCCTGCAATGCGAAGTACGACACCGTTAAAGCAATTGGCAGAGGTCAAGCCTAAGAAGCAACATTTACAGATCAGACGAGAAAAAGCGAATAGGCAGTGTTAGAAGAAGTCGGAGTCGGAGTCGCAGTCATTTGAGACAATCTAGACGTAGTCGAAGCAGAAATAGGCGACGATGTAGTCGAGGACAGAGCGAAAGGAAGGACGAAGATAAACTTAGCTATTGGGCTCGAAAAAAGGTCGACAAGACTCAAAAGCTTTGGAAGGTTTTACAATCAAAAGGCACAATATCTGTGGAGAATGCACCTGACATCGACTCCGACGACGACAACATTAAGCCTGACAGAAATCTTTTAATTACTTCATTAAACTGCAAGGAATGTTCGAAATGACGAAAAGACAAGGCTTCAGTCAAGATAGAAAGATTTACATCGTTCAATACGATAATAAATTAAAGATGACGAACATTGCAAAGAAGCACATACATTGGGTGCTTTATTCTTAAAAACATACGCATTGACAGCTCGCTTGCCTTAGTTCCACGTAGATGCGGCCTGATCAGTGGCAAATACCATAATAATTGAGCCAATAAAAACGTACGTATATCACTCGCTTTTATTATACAAACGTAGTAATTGATAGAGTATTAATAAGTGTTGTGGATATGCAGAGAATTACATGGTAGGTGGAACAGTGTATAGTTTGATGTAAAATCATCATATTTTTCAAAGCTGCCACACAGGTATGATCGCTGCTCATGCAAGTTTAGGTCTGAGCATACTAGTTTGCGCTACGTTAATAACTGCGGCTTCCTGAGATATGTTTTCACAGAAAGCCGCTTCAATATTATTTTTTCATGAATTTTAACTAAGGCTAATACAGATATCTTGATTTAAGATATTTTTTTAGATTTGATGATAAAATTTAGTGTCACTAAGATTTTATGTGCAGACTTACATTTGAAGCCAGTTTTTACTGCATATTTGGATTATGAACTCAACCATTGCAGCGGGGCTGCCGTAGCTTTGCGCTTAAAGGAAGCGTAATTTAGGTCACCGACATACGTTCTTCAAAAGAACCACGTATAAATTAGCGGATCCCAATCTGCTTGTTCCAAGAGTGATTATTGCCTTCCCAAGGCTAATTGACTCTTTGATTTAAATTGTTTTTATCTGCGCTAAACAGCCTAATTTTAAATGTATAGATTTTACTAAATATATATAGTAAAATCTAAATACATGCATAACTACTGGCTACGTAGCCACGAACCGTTTTCTTGTTTGGTTGCAGTCACACCATGCACATCTCGTGTGACACACACCCCTGTTACCAGGATACGTGTATCCACGTTACACCCTCCCCCATTAGATTGAGAACATTTACAGTTCCAATCGATTATTGCCTCAACGAGGCTCGCGTGTCCG